AACCTGCTGCACTAATATATCATATATTTCACATATATTTCTATCTTAAATGCAACTTCTTATCTAGTCACCCTTTTTCCACACTACATGTTTCAGCCATATACAGCCATCATCTTCTACATTCATCAGTAGTAATCTGTCAAGACGACAGGTCCACAGTCTCTTCCAAAACAGTTCCTCCACTTGATGCGATCTAGAGCTTTCTCCTTCAAATGAAAATATCCTCTTCTGTCCCCAAGGTCATCCAGCATCTTCTTACGTCTTCTTCCTTGTCTTCTGGTCACTTCTATCCGCCCCTCTATCTTTCCTTCAATAACTTCTTTTAGAAGGCAGTTACCATGTAAGATATGACCAATCCAATTAGCCTTCCGCATCATCTTCTATCTTGTTAAAATTGTTGCACTGTATGTCAAAATCTCATATTACATGTTTATTGTTTATTGTTATTAAATAACTCCACAAATCCTGTACAGGGGCTTTAGCATCCATAGGATATAGAGCTAGTCAAACTTATACAATCTCATACAAAACATAAAAAGATACATGGTGTAACATTAAATCAAGCCATATCATAACAACGTAGATTCATACACTGTTAGAAATACAACCTTTTACTTCTTACTACTCCAAGTTCATTCGTCACAATCATTAAACATTAATCATAAAACAATATCACATGTGAACATGATATTTGATAATTAAAATAAATTGAACCTTAATTAAAATTAATTAACATTCCAATGTTAATGGCTGTCTTCCATTTCTTTAAAAGATACTTGCTTGAGTATCTTTTGTTTTGGATTTATTTGAGCGTCATTCCATTTGTGATTTGGATGATATGTGTGTTATTTGTGCAGATCATAAGGATGTTGATGTGAAGTTACTATCACTTTTGTTATCTCTGGCTGTAGGTTCTTCCAGCTGCCAGAGTAGTTGTGTTCTTAACTGGTCTGTATACTATGTAGACCGTAAATATAAATGTGCAAATATTCACTACAGGATGGAAATTGCAGTCATAAGCATGGAAATGTTATAAAACCTATAACTATTGAGAGCTACAACAGATGTATATGCTTTGTGACCATGGCAAAGAATGGCAAACACCTACTCAAAAAGCACTATATTATGATCAAATAAACTTCCAGAAAATAAGCAACAAAAACACTGACCATCCAGTGGATAGCAATTACAGCATTGTCTGTTTCATTCACAACAAAGATAAAGTACACCTTACAGATGTCAAAAATATGACAGCAGCCTGTGCACTATCAGATGCTTCAGGGATTATCACTTACAAGTTAATTTGTGAGAACAGTCCTTTGGTATGGGAGAGCCATACAATTCACATGGGAAGCCTGAAACATTTTACTTTTTTATCTTGTAACATGTTCATACCCATCTCTTACATTTAACATTATACATGTAAAAATTAAATATGTGCAGTGATGTGACCTATATTTTGTTTGCATCAAGGTATCTTTTATTGAATATTTTCATGAATGTTTTGGGGAAATTTACATTTTTAGAAAAGGAGATACAGTCTTAATTAAATGCAATTATTTTATTCGAGCTGTACATTTGTAAGGGGTGGATTTAAATTTGGTATGATTAGGGTTAGATCTTTATTGGATGGAAATTATATGTCACATTTTGGAGAAATTAAACATTTTCATAGCAGCTGAAGATAAACATACGGAACAAGATTTTAGCATTTACTTCATTCTTTAAACAAATGAGAATTATTAACTGTTCAGTCCATTTCCTAGCACACATTCACCTGGCCAAGAAACTTCCTGTTATTATGAAACCTAAAGGATTATCACCATGTTCACAAAATCTGCAGCTGGTACCTATCCATCAACAGTTCAGCTGTGCTTGTATCTTCAGACCATATGGTCCATATACAGTGAAACCTGGATTTTACATTTCTCAAAAGACCATTCAGATGGAATGTAAAATCAATTGAAAAAAATATGAATTAAATTATATTGTACTGCATTAAGAATGTAACCTAGATTACTTCCTCCACAAATTCATTACAGCAAGTTGCTGCTGCTGCTGCTGTTGCTTTGCTTTCTATTGAATCTTGTACACCTCATTCTCAATAATACTGAGATCAGATATAATGTTATCATCGACATCAAACTTCATGTGGCATTTCCTCAGTGCTGATGTCCTCCAGCACTGACAAAAATGTTGCTTAAAGTTCACTATTTGTACCATCATCTTCTACCTCCTTATAACAAAATCAACTTTCTTTCCAGATTTCAGATTTAAAGTGCATATTATGACATCAACAGGCCAATGTATGTTCAATATGAATGCATAATGCAGGAATTTGGTAAAAAGCACAAATGAATATTGCAGGAAATCTTAACATTTTCCTTGTGGAATTTTGGCAGGACCAATAAAAACATGCATCCAGCCAAGCAAACACATTGTCACATTCTGGGGATACAATGGGACAAATAACTTCACGCTGCCTTGGATCAAGCGAATTTATTCCACTCACTCTTACAGTTACACAATTTACAGTTTCCCAATTACTACCATCTGAAGTCTCACAATTACTTCTCCTGCTGGAGTCACTGCCATTCACTTGATACAACTCAACTCGTAGCTGCTGGACTTCACCTCATACTGGATACTGGTAACTGGCTCAGTACTCACTACTCCTGAATAGTGTTCGCTGCTCTTTATTTAGGCTCAGCACAGACAACATAGAGAACACATTATTGCTCGGCATACAGATATCAGGTATTGTTGTCAGGTGTTTCTACCTATGCATTGCCCAGTAACAGTCGCTGCACAGACTCGCCTGTTGTGTGACGTCACAGCCTAGTGGGGAGGGGTGTTTACCGAGCATTGCATAATGATGGGAGGAGTGGCGGTACATCACGTCACTCATGGACACGCAGAGTTCATGTGACCCCTTCTTCCTGTTGCGCCATCCACGTTACACTGCTCCCTTCCAAAGGTTGTTTGTCCCAAACAGCCCAACCGTATATCCCCAGTCCTTTTCTCTCAAGGCTGTGCTTGCTGCATCTTCTTTTGGTTCAGGTACTCCTCTTGCAGTGACTATTCTCCAGCAGTTACATCTGCTCCCTTCTTATGATTGTTCATCCCGAACAATTCCATGGTCCAGCATTCGTCGATCCATTGTATCACGTTCACTCCTCACTTTCATTCTCTCCTCATTCACTCCGGGGAGGCTGGTGTTTCTTTGTTATCAGTTCCTCCTCTGCTTGCAGTCTCTTTTCCGTTTTGGAGGGGGTCAACCCCTCCACATGGTTCAATCCTTGTTTTGTCATAAGCCGACAGAAGATCCGACTATTCGCTTTCCGATCTTCACGCTGACAATTTCGTAGATGGTCTTCTTACAAGTTCTCCCTCCTAGGTGCGATTGCTGTCCTGATCTACACATTCTGATGTTATTCTTGGTTGGCACCTTTATTCTCATTTTGCATTGCGGGCCTTTCCAGTGTCTATTTTCCTCTGTTCGTCCTTTCCAGGTTTCTTGTTCAGCATTGATCCTGGTTGAATATTTATTTACGAAATTTCCCTTGCGCCATGTCACAGCTACACGGCTAATCATATTTCTGTCGGCAGCCAATTCGTGCCGTGGCCCACACTTTCCTTGAATCCAAGATTTCCTGAAGCTGTTCCTTTTGCGCCATGCCACTGTTGCACGGCGGGAAACTTTCCTGCAGACGGCAGCCAACTTCCTCCAGGATCCACAAATTCCTCGGGTCAGTTTCTTCAGCTCCCCGCGTCGCCCTGCAGCTTGCTTCTTGCCCCTATGCCGCTTCTTCCATCCTTTGACCGGTTTCAGTACAGCGTTTTCAACAGTGACTTCTCATTGTTGGGCCACCTCAGGTTTCGTTTCCACTGAGGTCAGCTCTTTCTCTTCTAGACATGCTTCCAGCTTTTCTTGGCAGGACATCATCTCTTTTTGGGTAATCGAAATCATTTCTTCTTCGGGTTCTCTGACTGGCCTCACTGTGGCGTTTTGTACGGGTATTTCTCGATGCTCCACTACAGACTGCATCATTTCTGAATAGGGCTCAATCTTCTCTGCCTCTGCCTCCATCGCTTCTTGGCAGGCCCTTCTCTCATTTCGGCATGTCTTTAGGGAGTGAATTGCAACCTCTTCGTTAGGAATCTTCTACCGCTCCACTATATCCTCTTTTTCTCTTGGATTTGTCTCCATTGCATCTTGGTAGGCTGTCGTCTCTTCCTGCCATGCATTCATGTTGGCTTTCAACCTCGTCTCGCATGGCAGCCGTCCTTGCTTCGATGGCTCTCGTTTCTGCTCGGAAGGCTTCTCTTTCTGCAGCCATCTCTTCTCGCCAGGCTTTTAAGTCGGCGTCCATTTTCGCCAGCAGGCGTTCGATCATTTCTTCCATCTCCATCATGTGGGGGTATAATTCATTGTAACTTGTGGCGTGTTTAAGTTCGTAGACACTTCTGACACCAAATGCCACGTGTTGGGTATGCGATGTGACAAATAACCTCACTCCTGAATAGTGTTCGCTGCTCTTTATTTAGGCTCGGGATGGACAACATAGAGAACACATTGCTGCTTGACATACAGATATCAGATATTGTTGCCAGGTGTTTCTACCTATGCATTGCCTAATAATAGTCGCTGCACGGACTTGCCTGTTGTGTGATGTCACAGCCTAGTGGTGTTTACCAAGCGTTGCATAATGATGGGAGGAGTGGGGGTACATGACGTCACCCGTGGAAACGCAGAGTTCACGTGACCCCTACTTTCTGTTGCGCCATCCATGTTAAAATATGTTCAGGGAATGTAAAAGTCCAGGTCTCAATGTACTCCTAATCAGACAGTTCTACCACAATCGCTTTCTTGGCATTTATCATAAAATTGTTATATACTTTTCTATTTCTTGCTCTAAAGGAAATAACATCATGTGAAGAGCAAAACTTATGAACACCATTTCAGTACAATGGACTACAATTGTCTAGCCAGTACTCACTGGAAGTCTTGGCCCGCAGTGTGTCTGGCAGATACTTGCTGCTCCCCAACTTGTTGAATGCCATGATGCTGATAGTGTAATCTGTCGCCATGGCAAGTCCTGTGATTGTGAAGCTGGTGATATTGCTACCAATCACATCCATGTACCGGTAACCTTCCCCAAATGCGGCCGTAGGCCTGTACCGTATCCTGTATGATGGCTCCATGCCACCTGCAACAGACAACATAACAATTCTGGTCACATTCTATGAGGTAAAGAGGTACAGTTCTTCCTGCATCTAAACACCATGACAAAGAGGAGAAGAGGGAGTAATGATGGACTGACATTTGTCCTCGAATGATGGACTGACTGTGGTAGTAGATTTCAAGGTCTGACACTAAGGCTGACTATGCTATATGATTCTGAGCTAGGTGAATCTATTTCAGATCTTCACAGTCCAATCTCATTTTCAGTATTACCCTCTCTCCTTCCCAGTTACCCAAGTGTTTTAACACCAAAATTCTGTATAACTCTATTGTCACATATCAGCTGAAAGCCGGAATTTTGAAGCCTGCAGAAATGGCCTTTCCATTGGAATGGCTGCATAAACACATCCGTTGCTAGGCAGTGGCTCAGTGCACATCACGTGACCGCGGCCGCGCTTACACGCAACAATGAAACACGTCACGTCACGCCACACCGTGTCACCAAATACATCACCCGTTGTTAGGCGATGGCCCTATAAACACCTCTCCGCAACAGCAGTGATGTAACACAACAGGACACCTGTTGGAAGCAGTATATTCTGTGCATTCTATCCTGGGGCTACATCATAAGGTGCAATGGGAGGAGCCAGTGATTCTTGACATGGCAGTCAGTTGAGTGGTGAGGGGTTAGCAATCTGAAACAGGAGGTCCTGGGCCAAAGCTATAAGGCCATTGGCAGAGCAGTACAGTCTTGAGAAGATGGTTAACAAGTCCAGTTCTTGAGTTGTAGGGGTACAGGGAATAGCCCTTATCAGATGAGGCAATGTCTAGTTGAGCTGCAACATAGGTGCCATGCGGCATGGACTGGAGCCATGGAACAGGAAAGCTAAGGGATGCAAGGCATTGGGAGTGTTACCAGGTGACAATCAATGAAGGCACAGCATAGTGAGAAGACCTAGAACTTATTGTAGTGATCTGTTAAGCATGGAAATCCATGAAACTGTTATAATTACTTGTACATATGAGTTTCAAGAGTCTCGTAAACCAAGTTACCAATCTAACCCCATTTGTAGTCACTTAACATGTGACAATATTTGCCTCGCCCAGCCTACAACATAACTAATTTAATTACTGCAAAAACGCTACAAGAAGTTTACATTATTTTAATGTGTGTGAAAATTGATAATTAAAAACCATTATTAACCTACAAAATTACATTATTTACTAATTAATTTCATGATGACCAACCATTTACCAACAATGCCTAGCAGCATGCAAGAAATGGTATCATTCATACAGTCAATCACATTCCTCTTGCTTCCTCTGGAGCATGGGGCATCCGTGAAACACTTTTGTTTCACTTCAGTTTCTTAATCATTATACGGTCGGTAGGACTCCTTGGTTAATGTCTGATGTTTTAGCCATGGTCATTCACTCACATATGGAGAAACATGATAGGAATTGAAAAGATGCTGACATCTCTGTCTTGCACTTTCAAGAAAGAGAGTAATGCACTGCAACTAAACCATTGACTTGTTCATGGCTCTCATGCACTTCCTTTAATCTCTGTCATCTGTTAACCTTTAACGTCCAAAGTGCCCCAATCAGGCCAGTGATGAGTACGGTCGTCGTGGCCAAAGTACCCCTTTTGACCAGTTGGGCATTTAAATTCCGCTAGTGGAAGTGCGCGTGCACGCCACTAGTAGAAGCGCATGCACAGTCCTAAATATTTATTTTTATGGAGGAGAAGCCCTCCAGTTTTGGAGGGAAGCTGCGAATATAATGAATAAGCAGTCGCGGACAGCTGACAAAGGGTGGCCCTCCAGCTTGGGGGTTGGGCGTGGGGCTTACAACTCCTCAGCGTAAAAATGAACACAAAGCCTTGGACCTTGACGGATTCCTTGGATAAACGACCTAAGCTAATGAAAATGGATCTGAGATTTGGCACTTGGAATGTTCGCAGTCCGTATAGGGCAGGTTCGCTCAGGGCAGTGACAGAAGAAATCTTAAAATATAAGTTATATTTAGTGGGAGCACAGGAGGTCAGATGGGACTGAGGTGGCATCGCACCAGCAGGCGAATATACATTTTTCTGTGGAAAGGGGAAGGAAAATCATGAATTAGGTACAGGTTTTTTTGTACATAAGAGAATCGTATCAGCAGTTAAGAGGGTAGAGTTCGTTACTGATAGGATATCTATATAATACTATAAGGTCGCTGGTGTGGTATCATTGTTATGAATGTTCACGCCCCAACAAACGATAAAATTGATGACATAAATGACAGATTCTATGAAGAACTAGAACATGTATTTGATAAATTCCCAAAGTGCCCTATGAAAATTTTGTTAGGAGATTTGAATGCCGGAGTAGGGAGGGAAGACATTTTCAAACCAACAATTGGGAATGAGAGTTTGCATGAAATTAGCAATGAGAATGGAGTTAGAGTTGCAAACTTTGCCACATAAAAAAATCTTACTGTCAAAAGTACAATTTTCCCACATTGTAACATTCATAAATTTACGTGGACATCTCCTGATGGGAAGATACACAATCAAATAGACCATATTTTGATAGACAGGAGATGTCACTCAAGTATACTTGATGTCCGATCATTCAGGGCAGCAGCTTGTGATACTGACCACTACCTGGTGGTGGCACAGGTTAGGGAAAGACTGGCAGTGAGCAAACAAACAACACATAGAGTTTATATGGAGAGGTTCAATCTCAAGAAATTAAATGAGGTAGAAGGTAAAGAGCAGTATTGTGTTGAAATCTCAAATAGGTTCACGGCTTTGGAAAACTTGGAAGCTGAGGTGGATGTTAATAAAGTTTGGGAAAGTATTAGAGAGAATATATAAATGTGTGCCAAAGAGAGTCTAGGTTATTATGAACCGAAGAAGCATAAGCCATGGTTCGATGAAGGAAGCTCACAGTTATTAGATCAAAGAGAGCAGGGGAAATTGCAGTGGTTACAGGATCCAAGCGAGTTAAATGTGGATAATCTGAACAATATAAGACGTGAAACCAGCAGGCATTTCAGGAACAAAAAGAGGGAATATCTGAAAGACAAAATTGATGAGCTTGCAACGAACAGTGAAAACAAGAACATTAGAGACCTGTATAGAGGAATAAATGACTTTAAGAGGGGTTACCAACCTAGCAGTAACTTAGTGAAGGATGAGAACGGTGATCTGCTTGCAGATTCCCACAACATTTTGAATAGGGGGCGGAACTACTGTAGCCGTATCACTGACACCACCAGCTTTATTTGTAATCAAGATTTCTTTTTATAGTGATTAAGCCTAGAATGTAGTAATGAATATTCAAGGGTGACTTAGCCCGATTCTTGGTTTCAAGAATAGGGCCTGCTTCAGTGCTACAAAGACCAGGCAGGAAGCACCCCGCAGAGTTTCCCTGGAAATTCAGTTCGAAAGTTGACCGGTGGGATCCTTTGGTAAAGTTACACTTGACAGGTTTTGAACCCCGTAAGTCAAAAGTGGGAAGGCCAGCAACCCACGCTACTGGTATAATTTTTCAAGCTTCTGTGAAAAACGACGTTAGGACTTTAAGGTCCAAAGTCCCAAACTAAAGCTAGGTGATTGGAGCAGTGAGAATTATGGTTAACTCCCTAAATTCGAATTGTTCCAATCAGCCGAAATTAGGGCAGAGGCGGAGTTGAAGCTGTGAAGATTTCTTGCTTCAAAGCAGAATCAGTCTGCTAAAGGAGTCTCTGAACAACTCTCCAAGTGTACAGCCAAAAAAATTAGCATCATTAGCAGTTGGGTTTAAAAGTCAAAGTTAAAACAGAATTATGTTTAAGTGTGTTATGGGAACAATCTCTGAATAACTCTGCAAAATTTAATGTGAATCTTAACTTGGCTTAAAAGTTTAAGTGAAAGTGTAATTACTTCTATGTGTTGTGCTAAAAGAAGCAGTCGCTAAGTAACTAGCCAGGGATCCATTCGCAAAAGTTTGAGCGATTTCAAGTTTGTTTAAGGGATTAAGGACAAGTGCTGTTACCTGTATATCAAGAACTGCTCATTAAACAGTGTGTGGTAGTGCCTAGCTATAAACACTCTTATCTTTCCCACTGACGCGAGGACCGTATGCACCCTGAGACAGAATCTCATCGCTCTAGTGCGAATGCAGTACCCATCACCTGTAGTTTCCGGTTCATCCCCCTTTTTTTCTGAAATGTAAGCTTGTATAGTAAGCTTACTGGCGCCCAGCATTCACGTAACCCATATCCCACAAACAATTATCCACAACAATAACAAAAAAGGGAAACAGAACTGGATAAGAAGGACTCAGCAGCAACCTGCAAACTTGGAGTACCAACAGGTGAGAGGGAATGGCTAGAGGAGTAGCTGCAACCGGCAACCAAGGGGCCAAAAGGATGGTAAGAGAGGAGGTGGCACCAAACGTGTAGGCAAACGGCTACAGAGAAGGAAGGTGGCACCAATGTAAGAGCTTGACGGTTACACTACTTCTCTCAGTTACCGAACGTACATTGGGTCAGTGCTATTAGGCAGACAGAAATCCATATAGCTGAGCCGTTAATACCTGATCCTAGCCCTTTGAGGCTGAAAGTGCTATTGCAAAATTGAAACGGTATAAATCGCCAGATAGTGATCAAATTCCGGCAGAACTTATTCAAGCAGGAGGTGAAATATTACATTCTAAGATCCACCATCTAATTACTTCTATTTGGCATAAGGACAAATTGCCTGATCAGTGGAAGGAGTCTACTATTCTACCAGTTCACAAGAAGGGTGATAACACTGACTGTAGTAATTATCGGTGGATATCACTGCTATCAACTTCATACAAAATTGTATCCAATATTCTTCTCTCAAGGTTAAGTCCATACATAGAAGAAATTATTGGGGATCATCAGCGCAGGTTTCGACTTAACAGATCAACTACTGATCAGATCTTTTGCATTCGTCAGATATCGGAAAAAAGATGGGAGTATAATGAGACAGTACATCAGCTATTCATAGACTTCAAGAAAGCCTACGATTCAGTTAACAGGGAAGTATTGTACAATATTCTGATAGAGTTTGGGATACCCATGAAACTAGTTAGGTTGATTAAAATGTGTTTAAGCGAAACCTATAGTAAAGTCCGTGTAGGTAAATATTTGTCTGATAAATTTCCTACACAGAATGGTCTAAAACAAGGAGATGCTTTATCGCCACTCCTTTTCAACTTTGCCTTAGAATATGCAATTAGGAAGGTCCAGGGAAACCAGGTGGGACTGAAACTAAACGGGATACATCAGATCTACTGGGTGATAATGTAGATACCATAAAGAGAAACACACAAACTTTAATTGACGCAAGTAAAGTGTTTGGAATAGAAGTAAACACAGAGAAAACTAAGTATATGTTACTGTCTCGTCACCAAAATGCAGGGAAAGAACATGACATAAAGATAGGTAACAAATGTTTTGAAAATGTGGTACAGTTCAGATATTTAGGAACAATGATAACAGACTGAAACCTGATTCAGGAGGAAATTAAGAGGTGATTGAACTCGGGTAATGTCCAGAACATTTGTCTTCTCGTCTGTTGTCCTAAAACATAAAAATTAGAATATACAAAATTATAATTTTTCCGTGGTTCTGTATGGGTGTGAAACTTGGTCTCTGACATTAAGGGAGGAACATAGACTGAGGGCGTTTGAGAACAGGGTGTTGAGGAGAATAATTGGACCAAAGAGAGTTGAAGTCATAGGAGGTTGGAGAAAACTGCATAATGAGGAGCTTCATAAATTGTACTCTTCTCCAAGTATAATTAGATTGATCAAGTCAAGAAGGATGCGGTGGGCAGGTCATGTAGCACGAATTGGGGAGACAAGGAATGCATATAGGATATTGGTGGGAAAGCCAGAAGGAAAGAGACCACAGGGACGACCAAAGCGTAGGTGAGTGAACAATATTAGAATAGATCTTAGAGAGATAGTATTGGATGGTATGGATTGGATAGATCTGGCTCAGGATAGGGACCAGTGGAGGGCTCTTGTGAATACAGTAATGAACATTCAGGTTCCATAAAATGCTGGGAAATTCTTGAGTAGCTGCAGAATTTGCGGCTCCTCAAGAAGGGCTCAGCTCCATGAGTAAGTAAGTAAGTAAGTAAGTAAGTAAGTAAGTAAGTAATTACCACATAGACTTCGGTAAAACCCTAATAGAGGAATTAAAATGATACCTAAGTGAACAACAACAAAAAAGAGTATACATATGAGTTATGATCAAACTCATCCACTAGCAAGTACTTTTATTGCATATTCTGTAGATTAATGTCTTGAAATATATAGCAAAAATTCGATGTACATACCTTCTTTGTTGTTATCTGCTTGATGTATATATAGGCTGAAATTAAACTACAGTATTCGATTTCACTATGAATGCACAGAAGACAGATCACACTCTGTATCTCAGCCACCATGCAACTGTCTCTTCACGACCCTAGAAAGGGCAATAATCTCTTGCAGCTATAACTGAAGGTCTTAGCACTGAAGAAGGGACCCCTCTAGCTTTTTCTTGAATAGCCATTCTTTCATTCTTCTGTCCTTTGGTCAAAAGATTCGAAAATCTGAAGAGTTTAACAAAGATGTAAGGTTTTCCAGCAGAGAACCAAATGATTTTATTGCTTTCATCTGTTTTCTGAGACCAGGGACTGCTAAAATTTGTCAAGCGTTACAAGCAGAAATGAATTCATAAAGCAGAACAACTCTGTGAAGAACTGAGAAACTATTTTTACAGTACGCATCAAAATTAAAGGAAAAAAACTGAAAACAAGAGTATAACCCTTTGTATAAAAATTTTCAAATTTTCTGTTATTATATGCAACACTATGTTCTTTGCTGATACAAACAAAGTTAATTCCACCCATTTATCATATAAATTGTGTCAGATACAGCATTTTTAAACAAAATGCTTAAAAGTGTTTAAGCGCCCTAACAGGAATGGACATTTTAACGCAGAGAAGCAACGGGCATTTAAACACACACCAGCAGCAGACATTTAAATAAACTCCGGCCAGCTCAAGCTTACCACCATTTCAAAAGTCCGACATTTAAAGGTTAATTGACTCTACCAAATCAACAATACATCCAGATGATACCAACTGAGACACAGCAGTGAGTGATCTTAAATTGAGCTCTTATCTCCCAAGAGTCAAGCATACCTGTTCACTGAACACTTCCAAACATTGTAATATGGTTCTAATATGGTTTTGTACTCACCATCAAATCCTGGAACCCAACCAACCAGCACCGAATCATGTGTGACATTGAGGACCGTCATAGATGTGGGAGGGTCTGGTGCAGAAGTTACATCCAGTTTCACAGTAGCAGTGGCAAACCCCATCTCATTCCTCACCACACATTCATAGCCTCCATAGTCCGATGGCCGCACATGTTTAACTAACAACACTGACTCATATTTCACAATGTCCACCTGAAACATTATATTCAGTTGTTGTTATTGTACTAAGAGGGATGCATTATTATGCTTCTTCATTATTTATTTATTTGCAAAGTTCGAGATTCTCACAGCATTGACTATGAAGCTTACTGTCTTCATTTATTTATTTAGTCATAGTCAGTTCCGTTAAAATTCTGGGTTCCATGAATCGAATTTTAAAAGCACCATTAATACCAAGATATGAAACAACCAAAATTTTTAAGTACTTAATTACCAAAGGTACCATACTACAGCAAATCACATAACATACGAAAGCATGACAGGAGAAAATCAGCTGAAATTTGTTCATGGAAACAGAGCAGGTAACAATCCTTTTCATAATAAAAATATGAATGACTAATGATTAACATATATTTCATAAACAGTAGATAACATTCATCACTATAGAAGAAACTGGAAACAACAAGCTGAAAAAAATTAGCTCTATCAGAATTTTTTCCATCCCCCCAAAATAAAAATTATCAACCCAGAAGATGATACTCAAACAGACCTCCAAAAAGATGGAAGGTTCTGTATTTTGAAAAATTACAGTATAAGTTACATTTTCGGAGAAAGAAACCCAGTAGCTCATATATAAATTAGATGGCAGTGACAACCATGCAATGTTATAATATACACTATGCCTGTTACAATTCTTGCAGTGATGGCAATTTTAGACCTATGTCACTTTTAACATCTTTCTCAAAAATATTTGAAACTATAATATATACAAGAACTTTAGAACATCTTAATAAGTATAATATCCTAAGTACTGAACAATATGGATTTAGGAAAGGATTAAAAACAGATAATGCAATTTACAAATTGATTACAGAGATTTTAAATTCTACGAACAACAAACAGTTAGTGGTAGGTGCTTTTTGTGATCTGGAAAAAGGCTTTGACTGTGTAGATCATGATATCTTGCTGTCCAAACTTAAATTTTATGGTATTACTGGGAAAGATCATGCACTTTATGAATCTTATTTAAGTAACAGATATATTAGAACAGTAATACATAAAAGTGATGTGAATACAGTATCCTCAGATTGGCTTAGTGTTAGACAGGGAGTGCCACAAGGGTCTGTATTAGGACCTTTGTTGTTTCTCTTATATATAAATGACTTGCCTATAATATTAAATAAATTTTCTACACCTATAGTTTTTGCTGATGATACCAGCATCTCATTTTCAAATTCTAATATAAATGATCTTAGCAGGAAGTTCTTATATCAACTGAAATCTTAAATGGATGGTTTAGAGCTAATAAATTATCTTTAAATTTTAATAAGACACATTCTATTCAATTTAAAACTAAGACAATAACGTCAGATACTTTTACAATAAATCATAATAATTAGTTTATCAACAGTACCCTCAGTACTAAATTATTTGGTATTATAGTTGATACTGCATTAACATGGAAGACTCACACTGATTTACTTGTAAATAAATTAAGTAATAAACATAATCAGAAATATGAAATATTATATGTCTACTTCAGGTTTAAAGGTGATCTATTATTCCTTTTTTCGCTCCCTAATGAGCTATGCTATCATCTTTTGGGGAAACTCATCTCACAGTTCTGCTATTTTTCTTCTCCAGAAGAGGCTATGAGAGCGATGTTGGGATATGACAATAGAGTTTCATGTAGAAACATATTTAAAGAGTTAAATATTTTATCATTTGCATTACAATATATATTTTCATTGTTAGTATTTGTATTGCAAAATAAAGTTCTTTTTCCATCAAACATTGATTCTCATACTATTGATACTCAACAAAGACAAGATTTGTATTTACCTCATGCTAATTTAACTATTAATCAAAAAGGAGTTTATTATGCAGGTATAAAAATATTCAATAAAATGCCCATAGAGATCAAGAACACATCCAATAATTTTAAAAAGTTTAAGGTTGTATTAAGGCATTTCTTGAATACTCATGCATTTTATACTGTTGATGAATATCTAAATAGATAATTTTTATTATTGTTGTATTCAGTGTACTGTCTAGTTGTATAATATTTATGTATGTATTCCATGCTCTATGTTATTTTATGACATGTTCTATATCCATCTTTGGATCTCTTGAACTTGCAATAAATACAAATAAAAATGCAAGCAAGAAGAAAATTTATGGAACTTCATCTGGAATTTTCAGCTTCACATGTTATCTTGACAGCAATTATTATGATGATTTATTTTTTTCTGGAATTAAATTTATATAATGACAAATACATATAATATTGATTCAACTGTATTTAATTTATTATATTTGTATCACTATTCCAGTTCTGTTATTCTTAGTAGTGGCTTTCCACCAGAAGGAAACTGATTCTGATATCCTAAATCATGTTGAACCTCTGTAAAATATGTACAGGGAACCCAGCACATAGTGAATACATTTCTGTTGAGCATATCCTGTCCCACTTGCATGACTGTCAGAATGTACCTGGTGAGAGTCAATGTAATATTTCTCAGTGGTGTTAACAGGTATAGTGGCTCCCTCTCTAGACCACGTAAAGCGTAACTTAGGTGCACCAGATGCTCGACAGACAAGGCGACCTGTATCACCAGTATTACTTGCAGCCTTGGAAATCTGAGGAGATGTATCCATCTCAGGCTTGTCTGAAAAAACATATTCAGTGTCAGTCACAAAATTTCCTGTTACTAACAACAGCAATGATGTATCTAAGAGAGAGAATGCAACAGAGCAACTGGACAAATTATATAATGGGGAGGTTTAAAATTATACCCTTTGCATAATACCGTTGAGGTAATCAAGATGATAGAAGATAAAACATTCTCAGATAAGAGAAGATATACACACTAAACTTCTGTTGAAAAATTTCAAAATAAAACTTGGGAGTTCTGGGTATAAGTGGAAGTATAATATGCAAATGAATTGTACAGGAATAGGCTGTAAATATGTGAATCAAACTCAACAAGCACAGAACAAAAAGAGGTCTTTTGTGAAGTTAACTACTCATAACAGGGAATTCTGTGGCCAGTTGATAACTACTAACTGTTCAAGGAAGTTCTTTCATCACAGAGTTAATTTTGCTGTACGAAAGCTCAAGTGGTTACTTACTGGCTTCTCACTGCAAAGCCATGGAATGAATTCCCAGGCAGTGTAGATGAGACTTGTGGTGAACAAAGTATATCAGACAGGTTTAGTTAAGAATGCCTGAATTTTCTCTTGCAAATCATTTCATCGATACTCTACACATTTACCACCATCCTCATCATCACAAGCTGGTGAAATAGGCTTCAATCCACTATCATTTTTATAGCAAGTTATGGCAGTAATATAATGCATTCAGGACCTTCAGATAACATACAAAATTATAAGCCTAAATCTGGCTTTCCCTGCGAGACTAGAAAGAAAAAGAAAAAGGAAAGGTCTGTCCCTATGTTTAAGGGATAAATTGCGAAGCTGTGGGGGGAATGGAAGTAAAGAGGTGCGCAGGCATCTTCATGATCCAACTGCTTTGCACCCATTTCCCTTGGGATAAGAGGATGAATTAGCTTCACAGCAGCCAGTATGGAAGTGTTCACAAAGAGAATAACGTATGCCCCTGTAAGGAGTTAAACCTATTACCTTCACCCATTGCTTCCCTGATCAAGGTATCCCTCCTCACTCTACTAATGTCTGGTGAGCAACTATAGAATGGTATTTTACATTCCACTGAACACAAAATATTAATGAATCTTCTCAAACCATGCTGAAGTGTCCTCCATTGTTATGAACATAAATCTGATTGTACAAATCTTTTTGATCAAGTTCTGAGAAAAAAATTCAAGAGCTTCTGCAACAGTATTACTGATGGTATTTTCAATATTTACTTTCAGCTATTATTTGTTTCTAGGAATGTTTTAGTATACAACCTCTTTCAGAAAGCCTCACAAAAATTTTAATGAAATAAAAATTCTTATATTATAAGAAACACTCTTGCTTGCTCAGAAGATAGATGTCTGGTGCAAGATATCTGTTGATTTTCTTTGTGTCTTGCTTACATATCACTTGACAGCCATATTGGATGAGAGGAAACTTTTTATTATAATACAAAACAAAAACAAATTAATATAGATCACTATTACCAACTTGAACATTTTTAAGTGGTTACTATAGGATTCTGACAATGGTGTATAACACACTGATATGTTGGGATTTTGGACTTTATCCATCGTCCTGGTTTTTAAGATAACAAATAAAAACACGACGTTTCGGAAACTGGATCTGTTTCCGTCCTCAGGTGAAGGAAAACACCTATTCAGTTGGGTCTGTTTCCTAGAGCACCATGATATTGGGCCCCCTGACAAAATAATTACGTATCCCGTTACACTCTTCCTATCCTTTATCCCCTGCATAATCAGCATCACTAAATGTTTCCAGTTTCACAGTTTCGGAGTCAGGTGAGGTATATTTTATTCCTGAATCTCGTGTACCTTTCACATAAATAAGGGTCCTTTTCACATTCTGAACAGCTATTTTGTCAGGATTTTCCGAAAGTTCGACTTTCCTCATTTACAGCAAATGCCATATCGGGTCTGGTTTTAGAAGTCATATATAGCAGGCTTCCTACAGCTTCTCTGTAAGGAAATCTTATGTCATTTTCTCCTTCGTCATTTGTTGGTGGGGTCGTGGCCATGGGTGTTTTCATTTCTCAACTTTCTTGC